GATGCCCCAAAGGATCAACGAACTCCCCGAAGCAAAAGGAAGATCTACTAGATATTAATTAAATTATAAATATATCAATTCATGTGAATATGACTGAAGATTTTCATTTTTTCTGAAAATGTGGTGTTCTATTTACTTGTGACCACGCTGTGTATATAGCAGACATGGTGTCATTGATATATTATTATTATACACTCTTCTTTCCCTCATAATTTGTCATAAATACTGATCCCAACACTCTTTACCTATCAACATTATTCCTAGCCATAATGATCATAAAAAATTCTCAAAAATATATTTTAATGTTGATGTAGGATTCACAACTGAAATATTAAACAAAGCAAAACTTATTGTTCTTGAATGTTAAGTGTGTCATCTGAATAATGCCACTATTGTTCAAATACTAACTAAAGGTATATCAAAAAGAATAGCATTCTATGTCACAACTGAAATACTAAACAAAGCTAAACTTATTGTTCTTGAATGTTAGGTGTCATCTGAATAATGCCACTATTGTTTAAAAACTAACTAAAGGTATATCAAGAAGAATGGCATTCTTTGTTACTCACTGTACTGAAAATCATCTTGCCCTCTTTTTATTACTATCCATATCTACTTCATCCCATTTAAAGGGCTTTTGAGTTGTACAATAATGTCAAGTTTGTACAAAGTGCAATCATGATGAATCTTCACAGTAACATACAGTAAAAATTTATAATCCATCTTTTGGTGAATTTTGAAACTAAAAGTTCCTAACGTAGAAATGTCATGAATACCCCAAAATGGAATGTATTCAGAAAACATTGAACTCTTTGACATCATTTGCTCAGAATTTCTTGAATATAATGACTATTTATTTCCTGAAACAACCTCCAAAAGTATCTGTTACAGTAAATATTTTCACTTGTTCCATATGGTTCTATTGAATGACACTATGAAAACACACAATTACATACATGTATAAACAAGCTTGTTTTCTCAGATGAGATGCAACTGGAAAAGGAATCAAGCAAGAGGTTAAACCAATTAAATAACTTCTTTCTGCAACAGGTTGGTTGAGTATGGTTTCACTGATAATAAATGATCCCTTTTAAAATTAGAAAATTAAAAAATAAAACTATCAAATGAAAAAAAAAAGAATTTCCAGTTGATACTGCACTAGTCCTAGTCATCAATATAATTATACATACAGTCTGACTATAAGCATGTTACTGTATTAAATAAAAACTGCCTCACTCAAATAATACCAACTATCAAGTCAACTAGATGAGAAAACCCATTGATCACTTCACTCTCGTAACTGTTTGCTAAACTCTTCTATTTTTGTGTTAAGAATATTAGTGGAACAATGGCTCATGATACCTGACTAAGATAGTTGATACAGTCATACATATTGAAAATGTACAATAAGCATGAGCTACCACTTCATTATAGAACAGTATCAAACTAGTTACTATGTTATTGTTTTTTTTTAATTTAGTAAGGATGCATACAGAGGCGTACAGTTCCACATCAGTGAACAGCCATAGCAGGCCCTTTAAGGGAATGTGGCATAATACAGTATCTTACACCTTCAATCCTTCCCAGACTGTTTTTGGATTGTGTTTGTCACTGCTGTCACTAATTGCTTATGGCATACGAGATTCAATGATAAACCGGATTAACTTAAGGAGGTTAAAGTAACCAACTAGCCTTCAGTTTTTGAAATCAAATACCAATCATAATTTCTTGTACACTTGCTAATCTTTCAAACAACTATCATTAAAGGTACAAATGTACAAACAAACAAAAAACCTGCTAATTAGCCCTTTATTTATATGTAGTAACGTTCGTATCTGTTGAAAACTGCACCATCCACAAATCATAGCATATTTTGAGCACACCATTTAGAAGAATATTTAAAATAATTTGAAAAGGCTCAAATCATATTACAGATATTTCATACACAAAAATGTGGCTCAACATTATTCAATACCACATTGATAAATTACATTATTACTTTCAGTGACTTCTTAAAATTATCAGTTTGGTCAATTCTTTAAGTAATAAATCATACTACATCATTTATAAGATATAAATATCATTACCATGATAGAAATGTGCATATTAATTAAAGCCTAATATTTTTGTCTGCTTAACAACAGAACTATGTTTTAGTGTATCCCATAAATATCTCTTTCAGTTGAAAGTACAGGTATTTACATACACAATTCTTCAATCTTTAGTTTTTTACAGAAATAAGAAACAATAGACTTTCCACAATACAAAAACTGGTTTCAATGACACCTGTCACTTGTTAGGAGAAAATAAGCTTTTACAAGTAATTATCACTACGTTGACAAGTAATTTCTTTGTGTAACTTGTTTCTTTAGATATACCTTGCCACAATGAATTTCAGTTTATTACCAAACGAAGCAAAAGCTTCAAAGATGCAGAAGTCGGACCAGTTCACTAACAGGGATACAACAATTATCTAATACAATAAGCCTCATACAGCTCTTGAACAAAACTGTTAAAACAATACACACACACACACACTAAATAACAAAAAAGGGCAACTTTTTCCTTTGACAAAGACTTGAATTTTTTTATATCAATTATTGGTATTACCATTTCTTCTGAAATTACATGCACCTGGAAATTATCCATAAATCATATCAATTTCAGCAACTAAAACTACTCTACCAAATGAAACTACCATGTATGTAACAACACAATTATTTTTTATAAAGCCTAAGTGTCAACAAATCCAAGCTTCAGAATAAGATTTGTCTGGGTTCTTCCTAAAGCTGATTTTGTCACACGAGACTTGAGATACTGATCAGAGTTGTTCTCTAAAGCCTCTACAAGCTCTAGTGGCCACATGTCTGTTTAAAGTACTTTTATCATAAAAAGTCTTCGCACAGTGTGGGCACACAGGTTTCTTCTTCCACTCTCCAAGATGAGAGTATAAACTTCTATAACCTCGAGCTCTTTGTCCAGGGAAACTCCTAGGGTGGAGGTACCATTTATTTGGTTCGTAGCTGACTGAAACCCAAAACAATTACCATTTTACAAAGATTTTAGACTTAATTTCTTTAAAAAAATATAAATCCAATAAATTTCTTATGAAACTGTATAATGGATTAATGACTTTTCAGAGATAACACTATGATTGATAACAATTCTATTTGAAAACTGAATTGTTATCAGATGCATAAGTTCTCTTCGATAATGATCACAGCTTAACTTTTTTTTTTCAATGATTTCTGACCATCAAACTTTACATGATTATGACACAGTGTTTGAAGTGCACACTACGTTTTTTCAGTTCTGTCCAAAAAGACAATAACTTTCTTTTAAACAACTAAGCTAAGGTAATTCCTAATGATAATCACCTGAAAAGTTCTGTCACAATGACACAAGTGATTTAAACAGTGTCTCAAAGTTTAAGTAAAATTATCAAGCATGGTACCACTAGTTTTCATTAGAACATTTCTTTCCTATACAATGCCACTATACTCTCAGATACTCTCAGATATCAGTGTCTCAAAGTTTAAGTAAAATTATCAAGCATGGTACCACTAGTTTTCATTAGAACATTTCTTTATACAATGCCACATACTCTCAGATATGTAATGCTCAGAAAAGCATTTTGGAATATAATGAATATTTCATTTTACACTTTTAAAGACACTGTATTTATAAAACAAAAACAAGTGTTACATACCTCTAGTTTAACAATGTACTTCAGTTGTATGAATTATAGGAAAAACATTTTATAAAGAAACACCAGAAAACGATTTATTTCTATCTTAAAACAAAGAATATATTCCAACTGAACTCAGAAACTCCACTGATGAGTGATCTTTATTTATTCAGGAGTAATAATTTTCCTACACTGAAAATATATTTCTGATAGGTATTTACCTATTCTCACATAAATAGCTATTCTCGTTCAGTGCTGCTCTCTATACCCAAAACAATTTTTTTTTACGCATGCCACAAGCCTTCTATCTCCCCCCCATTGGAATTGACTGATTCCAATGCATCTCTAATGCTAATCATCATGCATCAACTCTCCACCAATAGGAGTGCGACATCCTCTCATGATGCAAGTGACTCCCTCTATTCAATTCTTCCTAACTATCACTTCGAGTTTTGGCAAAATATGGAAGAACCAGTTTTCAGTGGGCAGGAAGAGGGGGAAGAGTGAGAGGTGGTAAGTAACCTATTGGAAGTACATTTTCAGTGTAGGAAAATCATAACTTTTGATATGGTACATTACCTTTTCTCACATAAATAGCTAGAGTCCCACATTGAATAGGTGGAGGGACCAGTACAAGAAAAAAAAAGAAGCATCTTTTGAAAATGTCCAAAGGACACTCCCTAAGATGAGACGGTCACATTCTAAGTCTGATGTGAGGAACTGCACCACTTCTGAACCAGGTATACCTTTTGCACAATGTGGAAAGAGGTGTCGCAGACATGGGCAGAAATTGGGAAGAACACATCAAAAAGAGGGAGAACAATGGGTAGATAGGGATCCAAACCACATGATATTGAAATCTCAATCCCATAGAGTACATCAATGTGGGTGAGTGTAAAAGGATGAGCCTATAGGTATAGAGTGGCTAGGATGCAATGGATCGTACATGCCATGTCAACTACATCCAAAACCCAACTGCCAGGAACCGACATCCACGTGAGGGTAGGATAAGTATCATATCGTCAGTAAGTCAACTACCATCCAAAACCCAGCTACTGGAAACCGACATCTATTTGGGTGTATGAAAGAGGATCATATGACCGACAAGTCAATTGCAATCCAAAACCCTGCCATCTGGTGAGAGGAGGGAAGAGGATCATACCATCAGGTTCATGAAACCAGAGGGAATCCAGTACCCCTGACTCAGGAATGGGGCACATATTAATACGAGAAATAGATAGATTGATAAGACATCTGGTATCAAAAAGATTACTACATAATGTAAACCACCATCCCGAGTGCAGTGACATTCTTGGAATAAGAAACATCACGGTATAGGGGATGGGAAAGAACCATAACAATCTGCAATGATCTCCACTGTGACCCACGACACTGATGGAGTATAAATGAGGAAGAAATATAGACATCTATAATACACGTGAAGACTTACGTTGATTGGTTCTATTCGAAATTCAAAACCCAGGAATTGGGAACTGACCTCCCAATCGAAGGGGTGAGAACTGCAATTTTGACATCTCATTAACATTTGTTTTTATGTTTCATACTGGAGGATATCATGTCATCAACACCAGCAGAACACCACAGCCCTACTCTCAACTGAATGACTTTATAATCATTTCTATTTATAGTTTGTATTTCTTTAACCCATTCAGGATGATGCCTCTATGGTCCACCACCCTAGCAGCTTGGAACTGGAAAGTGTTAAGGACTCTCAAACTCCACTAGAAAAAAGGGGAAAATGTGGTGGACAGTCCAGAGAAAGGACAATGCATGAGACAGTGCAATGGGTGACCACATAAACCCTATTTTTAAAAGCAGACCATACTGATTTATTCAGTACAGGGCATGGCAGGGATGAGCAGCTATCCCCTTCTGCTTTACCCATGTAATCCATGGATGGGTACAAACCAGAAAAGGTAAACTTATGAAGCAATTCTATTGCAAGGATAAACCTACAATCTATCTTGTGAAACACTCCATCTCTGCAGTGTGCGTTGCGTGGCCATGGAATTATAATATGCAAGGCGCATGGCTTGACAATGCAGATTTGAAAGGTTAAAGAAAACCTGGTCAGGCACCACTTGCCACAGAGCAAGATTCAAACAATGAGTAATAATAATAAATAGAGAAATGAGGTCCCTGAAAATATAATAATAAAAGATAACTCCCCAAGTCAAAGTCTCATTGATGTCTGAAGAAGGGCTACAGGTGGAAGACGATAGTCCGAAGAGGAAGAAACTGCTATCTTATGCAAATAATGAGAGATGTACATATTAAGAGTAGTCCACATGCCTGATTGAAGAATTTCCTCCAATGGATGACATAGATGAGACACCTGAGAAAAAGTAAGATGTCGCTTTTGATGAGAAGACACCTGGAACAAAGTATGGGAGGAAGATGATAAAGAAGAAGAAGCCAATCAAATCAAAAGCCAAACCAATTGGTGAGGGTGGAAAGATAAAGATATTGAACAGAGCACATACAGGACATAAAAGTCTATCCAAATCATGCCTAGGATAAAGGTGGGAAATGGAATGAAGGGAAATTGGTGAAAAGGAGGAGTTACCCTCCCTAGCCGTCGAAGTTTTAGGGAGGAAAAAGGATCTGGATAAAGGAGAATATATGTAGGATGATAAAGTGTACGTGAAACACTGATAACAAACAAATCAGACCTCTGACATCCACAGGCTAATAGGAGAAGGAAACAAGTCTTAAGGGAAATGTGAAACAAAGTGCATGTGGAAAAGAGGGTGTGAAAGGAAGGCAAAGTGAGGCAGTGAAGGACCACATTAACATCCCAGTCCGGATGGGTAGCCCGCCATCGTGGGCGACGAATCCAGAAGGAACGCATCAACAGGGAAAGGGTAGGAGAAGTAAATACCCTACAGTATATGGAAAACCAAAAGGTGTGGGACAAAGCAGCCCAATAACCTGAGAATGAGAAGACAATAAACCCCCGATTGAAGAGTCATGTAAAAAATTCTGCAGTATGAGAAACAGTGGGTTGAACAGCAAAAAACATTTGACCCATAGACCAACTGTGGAAAAACATTTCATTTGTGTTGCTAAACTTCCACGAGGAAGGGCAAATAGAATGAGCCAGAAATGAAGCTACTGGCTGGGATAAGCCAGATCTCCTTGCCAAGAACTCGATAAAAACCAGGCGTGAAGATGGAGGAAATGAAGGGCTGGATGAAGCACTGGTGACCGAGATTGACAAAGAAGGGAGGAAGACAGAGGAAGAGGTAATGGAAGGGTAAGTTGGAGCTGGTGAAGCCACAGAAACCATGGCTGAGTCAGCCAGTAAAGAGCAATCAGAAGGACTGGACACAGAGTGGTATGGATGATTGAAATCACCCGGTGAAAAAGTCAAATGGGAGAATAAACATATAGGTATTTGTTGGTCCAATCCTAGCTGAAAACATCGACAGCTATAGCAAGAGGATGAGGGACCAGAGACCAAAACAGAGGGAATTTGTGGTTGTAGAATGTGGAAAAAGCATCTATGTGAGGAGTACCCCACTAATGGCAAAGCCACTGGAAAACAAGAGGATTGAGAGACCACTCCATTAGATAGATTTTTGTCTGGACGGGAAAGGCGATATGCAACCAGATTGAAAGTACCCAGAACATGATACGCAATGATATATCTTGTGAGTGGGCCCAAAAATGAAGATCCAACATATGAATACAGAAGAATTGAGAACAGGTGCACCCTGATGAATGAGACAAGCAACCACTGTAGAATTGTTGGAATGGATCATTACCACACTATTTCAGACCAGATGGAGAAAATGAACCAAAGTTCAACATACAGCGAGAAGCTTCAGGATGTTGATATGATAAGACCTCTTGGCTGCAGACCAATACCCTGATGCTTCCTGTTGCTCCCCCATCCCTGAAGGGATGCGGCTGTAAAAATGTGTAAATCTGGACGAGGAGGAGGAAGTGAGACACTCGCCGACATGCGAGTGTTGTCCAATCACCACTGCAGATCGTCGACTAAGGTAGGAGGAAGGGTAATAAGAGCCTGCAAAGGATCCTATGCAAGATTCCACTTGTCATGAAGAGCCCGTATATGAGCATTACCTAAGGTGATAAGTGCTGCCATGGAAGACCACATCCCCAAAAGTGATAGAACCACGCAATCTGTAATAGAGGGTGCAGTAAGAGGACAGAGAACTGAAAGTACAGTTGTTGAGATTACACCTAGACATAACCCTCTTCCTCTAGGTACAACAAAACTTTTCTTCCTCGTATCGGCAACTACTAGTAACTATAGATGTTTTATTTGGCTGAAAATAAGTTCTACACCTAG